TCATATTTCAATTTTAAAATCTTTTCATTCTTGTTCCATTCATGCACTCAATAAAAAATGTGAAATGATGTGATACAAAGATGCTAAAGATGTGTCATTAAAAATAACAATTCCTTCCTTACTAAAAAACAACATGATTCTTCCTCCTGAAAGCAACTAATTAGGTATTTGATGCTTCTAGACAGCCTTTATTTTTCCACTCAGAGTTATAACAAAATGCTAGCACCATGGTGCCCGGCAATCAAGACGTGTGTGTTTATGTTTATACTGGAGACTGGTTAAAAACAATCCACCGAGAATCAGGATAGTGCTTAATCTATGAATTCTTATTTACTTTCAAAATACAAAAACAGAAGCTCTGAATACAGATTAAAAAGTACACACAGGTTGATTTTCCATTCCGAGTTAAAAAAAAGAAAAATTAGGATAGGAAGGCTTCTTAGACTGGGTCTCACTCTCTTGTTTGCACATAGTGAAATCAAGACCCTGAAAGATGACATAGCATCATGCCAAAGAGGACCCAAATCAATTGGGACGGAACATGGAATCAAATCCTAGTTCTCTAGGCAATTCTAGAATATAGTCTGTGTGGAAATTTGAAGTCATTAATATCTTAAAATACAATTATTTGTGTATTCATTTCAAAAGTTATTAACTCTAGTAGTTGTTCTTGATATTCAATGGGTATTGCGGCCAGGGAGATGGCTCAGTAGAATAAGCGCTTACCTGGAAAGAGCAAGGACCTAAGTTCAATCCCCAATTCCACCAAAAAAAAAAAAAAAAAATCAATGAGTATATATGCTGATGGTGAATGAAATATCCACTGACCATGGCTTCTCTTCTAAAATAATTCACAACCAAGCAGAAGAGAAAGATATGTCCATCATACCTGTTAATGAAATGTATTAAGTGCTCTCCTAGGGGTGTGAGCTAAAAACAACAGAGATAGAGAGAAAGAGAGAGAGAGACAGAGATGGAGAGACAGAGACAGAAAGAGACAGAGACAGAGACAGAGAGACAGAGACAGACAGAGACAGAGAGAGACAGAGACAGACAGACAGCTCTTTAATGTACCAACAAGGAAATTTCATTTGAATTGAATTCAAGTTGAATTTTATTTCAAGCAAATTTTGACAAATTGAGAAGAAATTGAATCCAAAGAAGATAACTACTCCAGGATACCTGAAATAAAATAAAGAAAGCAAAGCAAGGAAGAGAATAGATAGAGTCAGGTTAGGATATGAATCTGGGGGAAGCTAGCTCATTTCAGAGACATGTGACAAGGGTTGTGCCACACTGTGAAGGTCTCTGGATTGTCCAAAGGAAGTAGGACTGAATGAGCTATGTAACGGCGGCCAGCAGAAGGCTTCAGGGATGGGGCTGATAGGTTAATTATGTTGGAAAAAAATCTGTTAAGTTAGAAAAACAGAGAAGACCAATGACAGAGAGCTAGCAAAAGCTGTTGTAATGCATTGTGGATGTGAGCTAGAGCAGAGACTGGTTTCAGAAGTAGTAGAATGCAGCTGAACAGAATTAGGTGCCACTGCAGCTTGTACAAGAGTGTGTTTCATGTCACTATGTGTGACGCAGAGCATATCAGTGCTTAGGAATTATGCTGACTGATCTCAGCAAAGCAGAAGCATTCTTTCTGAGTCAAAGTATGCACTTGTAGAAAATCAGGAGTTATTTCCAAGAAACTGCAGTGAGCTGTCTTAAGCACCATAAAGTTGACTTTATAAAAACAAACTTCTTTGTGCTAATGTCTAGTGATATCCTGTAATAATCAGACACAGTTGCCTACCATTGTTTTTCAGTCCCTAGAAAGAGGCAGGGGAGTCACATATTTGATACTTTGGATTTTAAGTGAGTCAATTTACAGTGAATGGATTCCAGACGTCACACATGTCTTGTTTTCTTTAGACATCAAAACTGCACACCGCCAACGCTGTGTTTATCTGGCAATGGGAGGGGTAGGGCCTAAAACGTAAGACTAGCTGCTCCCTCATGGAGGTGACACAGAGGTGCTCTGAGAGGGCACATGCCGGGCAGCAGGAATTGGCCTGTTTGGAACCTGAGACACCCAGCGTCATCTGGTGACCTCTCCAGTATCATCCCAAGTCAGTCTTCACTTACTTGCTGGAAAGTGATTTGTGAGATTTTATTTACAGTATATAAGGCTGCAGATAAAAATCGAGAGCAATTTTAGGGGCTTGTACTAGCACAGATCATGAAGCCTTCCTATGCCTCACTTATTTCACTTAACGTGATCTCCAGTTCCATCCATTTTGCTGCAAATGATGAAAATCACTACTCTTTTGGCTGAATGATATTCCATTTTATACCTATAATTTGCTGTTTTCTTTATTCATGTTTTCATTAACAAGTATCTACCAATTATGACAAATATAGCCGTAAACATGAAATGCGTGGATCTGTGATACGCTGATATTTCCTTTGGATGTGTTTCACAAGTGAGATAGCTAAATTACATGGTACATCTACTTTTATTTTTCTGAAGAGCCCCATAGAAATCTCCCCAGTGGCTATCCAGTTTTCCTTTGTATCAACAGTGTATCTGAGTTTTGTCTTCTCCACGTGCTCATCAGCATTTGTACGTGTGTGTGTGTGTTTCTTTTTCAGAATTGCAGTTCTAACTGAGATAACATTACATATCATTATGTTTTAAATTTGTGTTTTCTTGCTGCCTAACAAAATTAAATATTCTTTTAAAATTGTCTAGCTCATTTGAATTTCTTCTTTTTGAGAAATGTCATTCTGTATCATTTACCTACTAAGTAATTGAATTTTTGTTGTTGGTGGGTTTTTTTTGAGATATATATATATATTCATGATGTAATTTTTGTCAAGAAGCTTGCAAATATTTTTTTCCTTTGCTTGTTTCTGCTGCCCACTGAGTATTTATTTTGCTATACAGAATCTTTTTAGTCAGATGTAATCCCATTTTTCTGTTTTTGCTTTGTGTTTCTTATACTTTTAGAATATTATGCAAAAAAATTTTCCCCATACCGATGTCTCCAAATGTTTCTCCTGTTTTCTTCTAGTAGTTTTTATAGTATCAGATGTTACATTTAGGTCTTTAATTCTTGGAGAAGGTTTTCTTTCAAAATGTAACTTTCTGGCCTTACCAGTGTTACTTTGGTAGAGTAAGTATTGTAATACATGACATGTTGAAATAGTAGCTAATGTTTCTTACTTTATCTATTTTAAAGTAACTAGTGAATCCCAATCAGACCCCTCCCTTGACATATATTCTAATTAACCTTCTAGCAACACAGTATTTCTAAAAGGATATCCAACCTCATTGTAATGATGCTCACTTAAGGTCATTTCTCTTTGTAGGAATAATATGCATATGACTATATATATATATATATATATATATATATAATTTCAACCTTTTAAAATGTAGAATTCTATAGTATTAGGTCCATTCATATTTTCCACATACTTTTATATTCTCCACTTAAAACTGTATCTATTACACACTAATCCCACCTCCACTCTCTGCCAACCACCTACAGTGCATATTTTAAGCAGTAGTAGTATTGAATAAAATTATGTTAACAAACAACAAATGACTCCTAAGTTGCACAACAGTTCAAAATTATTTCTGGCTCAAAAACCATAAAAATAGATGTTCCTGATTGACAGGCAGGTTTCTTTGCCTATCTCTTCTCTAAAATTCTTGTGAATTTTGACCCTTCCATCATCACCATATGGCTCCCAATAGATGTTTCCCTCTGGCCAGAGGTAAAGAGAGAAGACAGGGAGGATTAGCTCCTTGCAGTTTTCTTAGGCCCGATCTTGAATACCACATTTAATGACATGCAACCACAGCTAATCATGAGAGCAGCTTGTAAATATAGCCTCATACCATGAGAAGAAATTGTAGGTTTGAATATGAGTTAGTCTCCGCTGCATCCTAGTAAATGTGTACATAGGTCTGGAAATCACCATTCATATGCTCTGGAATTTTTTTTCTTTTTTTGGAATTTTTTTTCTAGAAAACATAATTGTCTCTGGTAAAAATCATAGATCTCACTTTTTATATATCTAAAAATAAACCCATACCAAAGTTAAAATGTATATATAGGAAGAGATGTGTAGGATTAGAAACCTTAAGAAATAGTTCAATGGCATAGGAGTTTCTTTTTTCATGCAGTGCAGTTATATGTTGAAGGCCAACAAAAATATATGTGTGTTGAGAATAATGCACATCCTTAATGAGTACTTACATGGTCCTCATTCTTATTTATATCACCCATGTCAGAGAGCGTATCTGCTTTTATTGTGAACTGCAAATCTTACCATGATCACATTGATTTGTTTATTTGCAATTTGGAGGAAGTGCTTAGTGGTGAGCCAGTCGAGCATGTGTAGATGTGGCTTGGAGCACAAAAGAAACCACATTTCTTACTATTTCTTCCTAAAAGTGAATTTTCTTCCTTTCAGTAACTATACTTAAAGTAACTGCAAGAGTCCCAGCTCAGACAAACATAGGAGCACTTGGTGTCTACATTTTCTTTCCCTACAATGAAAGAAAATGCATAAATGCATTTGCTGGCAGAACTAACAAAGACCAATTTATGGAATAATCGTCACCATGATTCCTGTCATTAGCCGGATGTTTACAGAATACATCTTCCTGTCTGGCTTCCAGATGTTTCTTCTTTTTTAATAGCTGTTTGGTTGTCATGAGTTTAGAATTCTGAATTGTAAATTGTCAAGGGAAGAATTCAGTCTCCAAGTTTCATGGAGAATAACATATGCCTGAACTTCTCAAACCTTGCAACATGGATTTATATGTTCTTCCCTTTTGTTTATTTCCCATAGTAAGCCTCAGAGGTCTCAAATTATGTCCCAGAGTTATCCTTAAATGAGTTAGCAACCTTTTAGTTGTTCATGATTCTTGTACAGCAAGAAACATTCATTCATTATTCATTTTGGAATAATCCCTTTCTACAACTTTGGCTTCCTAGGGAACGAGCATTGAATACAACCCAGCCCGGGTCCCTTCAGCTTACTGTGGGAAACCTGAAACCAGAAGCCATGTACACCTTCAGAGTTGTTGCCTACAACGAGTGGGGCCCAGGGGAGAGTTCCCAGCCCATCAAGGTGGCCACTCAGCCCGAGTGTGAGTATGAAGAGGGAAGGGCGGTGCAGGGCTCAGAGAGTACGTGTTTTCATCTGCAAAATCCTTTTGTAGAACTTTCTGTGATGGCAAGTGGAAGGAAAAAATATACACCACATATTTAACCTGAAAGTTTTGAGAGGCAAGATAACTTTATAGTAAAATATCTGCCTCACTTTTAAGACATGTTTGCATAATGGTAAATGATGGCAAGCAAAGGCTTAGTCCATCTATCACAGCTTTATGGGATCTTTTCCTCAGAAAGTGACTTATTTGCCAAACAGTGTCTCACCATCACTACTGGGTGTCAGCTTCCTGCATTGGTTTCTCATAGAAGCTTCTAAGTTCATCTATGAAAAGTGTATCATAAAAAGTAAGAGAATAATGGCATAGAACATCTTAATTCAGGGATTTATTAAATACCCTGCATGTGCATTGAATGTACTCAAGAGGCTTCCAAAGACAAACTGGAAATTCAAGAATATAGGCAATAACCTTCATTTGCAACTCTCATTGCTTTCTAAATTGACTCACTGTATTAACCTATTCATCCAGGAGTAAGGCAAGTTGTAATTCAATGATTTCCACTGATACAAAGGATAAATCTCAAAATTGTTTATTTGAAAATATATCTGCACCTTACCAAATTTCATTTTTTTCTTTTCTGTTATTTGAAACAATAAGTTAGTGATAGGTAGTTTGCCAGCTTTGTATCTGTTGACAAAAATTATAAACTAGAAGTTCAATTCGAAATATTGGTACTTGTAAGTGATACCTTATTTGGTACATAGAATTCATCTGTCCTTTTCTTTTAAAAAAAATGCTACTTTATATTCCTGTTTGTATTATATAAAGCTGTACTTCATGTGAAAAGAATTTGAAGGTGAGGAAGTGCTAATTAGAAATATTTTCCAAATGGAAAATGGGAGAAATTAATCTTTGTGTCCAGTCACATCTAGGGTGACAGAAATCAGTACGTCAAAAAGAGAGAGTAGGCCACGTGAGTGCCCAGGATGGCTTACTCTTACCAAATTCCTCCCCATTACTTCTTGATCACCTGAGAGGGCCAGGATTGGATGGATCATGTTGGAAGGACAAAGGGCTTCACTTTATAATTCCTGCCAGTGTTTGCCTCACAGAAAGAAGGCAAATAAGCTGAGATACTTATGTTTGTTTCAGAAACATAAAATGCATAGGCTTCAAGCAGGCATTCAGAAAGGCAGGATCCCAGAAAGGACCAGATCAATAATTTTCAAGATACTCTACAAAACAAAATAAATCAAAATTTTGTTGAAAAATTGTAAGAGAGTGTAAGGTAGCTGTAAGAGAACATTAGTTACTCTCTGCAGAGAGAGAGAGAAAGGGGGGTATGATTAAAATGTGTTGCATTTAAATAAGCTTTTTACACTTAAGGATACATTCTCATTGATGCCTCAAAATATTCCCCGATTCAAATGCACTTATTCTTCCTTGTCACTTTCTGGAGAGGTTCTGAAAGTTCCTTTTCACGAGTGTCTCTGGTTGTGCCATCCCAGCTGTCACAATGTCCTCAGTGGCTTCAAAGCATGTGCCTTTCTTGGCCATTTTGTCTGAGGTAAAACTCATAAGTCTCAGAGTGCTGGATCCGGTGAATGAGAAGGCTGAGGACACACCATAATGGTGTGCTGAGATGACTTTTGTATGGTGCGCAGTAGCCACCATCACCATATTGTTGCTCTGACTTCACGAAGATGTGAAAGAGGGTCTCCAGCACATGACATAGTGAGGAGAAAGCTAGGAAAAGCTTTGGCTCCAACTGAAGCCAGAGCGGGGGATTTTGAATGGGCTTGATGAAATGGTGTCTCTGTACACATTTAAAAAATTTTAATTTATTTTTTTTCTTTTCAAAGTTTTATTGATAAACA